TACCTGGGTCCGTGCTTAGGTGTGTGTGAGCCCCAGCGAGGTGCAGCCTGCGACGGTTTCATCATCGTCGTAGCGTGATTCAGTGCGCGGAGGAGCTGCCGCGGCCTGGGAGCTTATCTCGTGCTGCTGCTGAGGTGCAGGCCAGATAGCTTGCTCTGGTTTGTTAGCTTGTGTGGTTCTGCGTACGCTTAGACTGGTCTTGGTCGTTATTTTCAGGTAAACACTGGGAAATAACTTTCAAAAGAAGAGTTTTATCCCTTTCCAGGGTAGGTGTGGGTCTGCTGAGGGACTCGCTAATGGTCCATAGCTTAGCTAGGAGGAAGTTTACCTTTAGACAAGCAGTATGTAATTATCTTTGTTTATGCTCTGAACCCTTGCTGATTGTCCAAAAATGGTGTTATATCTCAGACTGAGGGGAAATATTTGTACCATCAGACTAAACAATGAGGTCCTTGCGGTTTGTGGTCTGTACGATTGCGCTGGTCGGGACATTTCCCTCAACGGGAAGGGGTCGTAGGCCCCGGGTGTTTCTAGATCTTGTTTCTAGCGCTGCAAAGCTGTCTCTTGGTTAAAGGTTTTGAAGTAACGGGTCGGGTTCCCCAGCTGACGCGTACAGATCTGTGTGGCAGGATGGGACTGTTTGCAAGGGGCAGAACCGGGTGATTGAATAGGGCTGGCGTGATCCTTTATTAAGAAGTGGGACGAGGGAAGGGGCAGGGGCGCGTAACCAGAAGGCAGCCTTGGAAAGGCCAGCGCGGGAGCCTGGGACGCTGGAGGACCGGGAAGGGGGAGGAGGAGCTTGGGTACGTGCTTCTTGGCCCTTTGGTCCAGAGGTGTTTCTTGTTCCTGTAAAATAATAACACAAAAGAAATAGAGCTTTTTCTCCATTTTTCATCTCCCTGGTATGGAGTGGCCCTAACAGGGAGCGCTGGGGGTTGTTGGTGGCTCGGGGCGTCAGGTACCTGCCGGGTGTGCTCCGGCGCGTCGAAGGCTCCCGGTAAATCAGCGCAGAGCAGCCGTGCGGTTCAGTGGGGCTTTCGGGCAGGGCTTTGCTTGCGGCACCGGCTCCCAGCCCGTGGCCTGCGCAGCGTGGGGTAACCCGTGCAAACAGAAGGCCTTCTGCGGCAGCAGGCTGCACGCGAGGAAGCTGAGGCCGTGCCACTTACGTGTCTTTAGTGTTACCTGTTGTTGTGTTGTGTGAATGATGGCTGTGCAAACTGGCTCCTGCTCTTTGTTTCTGTGAGTGTTTTTGCCCATCTGTTTTAGGACAGGCCTTGTTTATGTTATTAAGCTGATTAAAGGCTATAGCCATAGAGGGATGTTAAGAATAGCATGGCTTATTTCTATAACACTGTGAAGTACAAGTCACAATGGGAGTATTTAGAATGTATAAGGGAAACGATTACTGCCCAGACAAGTAGCTTTAAAATACCAAAGTGCAGTGGGTGGCTGTCCTTGCTTCCAGAGCGTGCTGTTCTGCAGCCAGTGGGGAGATGCAGCTGCACCTTTCCACGTCGTCTCTAAGAGAAAAGCACGGACGCAGTCACATTGAAAGTCCGCTCTGTCCCGGGGTAACGGAGTTAGATGATACACTTTGTTCTGAGATCTCAAAGAAAAATTCCCCATTTTAGTTGTGGCTTCTAGTGCCACTAAGCTAATATAGCTTGGTGAGTATCTGGCAAAAGAAATTGTTGCTATTTCCCATCAGTACTGATTCAGTCGTAGCACCTGTGACTTTAGTCTGAGCAAGGATTGAGATGGCTTTCAAATTAAGCCGCGCATCTCCTGAGCGGGCGTTCAGAAACCTGCCCGGGGCAGTGACGCAGCTCGGACTGAAGGACCAGCGTAGGCATGGTCAATGTTACAGGCTAAACCCAGGCCCCCTCTTTTCTCGCCCTGTATAGCTACTTATTTATAGTTTAGTATTAATTTTCTGCTTCTGTTTCCCTCTCTCCCTTCTTACATGAGATGAACAAGCGGTAAGTCAGCTCCTTCTGCATAAAACACCTCCTGCGTGGCGCTCCCAGCGAGCCGGGCTCCCCGTGCAGCAGAACCCCCGGCGGCTGTGCCCGAGGCGGAGGGACATGCTCGGCTTCGGGTCCTGGCCAGCCGAACGGCGCTGAACAGTGACCGGCACTGCCCTGGCCACCGAAACGCGGCTGAGTCACTGCGCTGAGTCTCCTCAGTGACCCGTTTGTGTCCAGTCTTGATCAGGCTGTTTTGAAATTCTGACAGATGTGAACGGGTTTGCCGAACACTCCGCTCGTGTTTTCCTCTTGCGCACACGTTCACGGATCTGCGGTAGGGAGCACACGTGCAGCGCTGGCAGCTCTGTGGTGTCCGGTTAAACTGGGTTTGGAGCAGCCACGGTGCCCTGGACAGTCGTGGTCGCGCCCGCTGACGTTTCCTTGAGCAGCCCCTGCCAACGGTAATGCTGGCCAGGGAAGCCCGTGAGAAGCGTTGCTGCTTCGTGGAGTTCCGCGTACAGCGCGGCGTGAAGCAAGAGCGTGTCTGCGTGATGAGAAACTTGCCTGCTCAGCAGAGGGGCCGCGCAGCGACTGCGGAGCTCTCTTGCTGTGGGAAGGCTACCGGCTCCTCTCTGTAAGCAGAACTCTCTGTTCCCAGCAACTGGAAAACTGCTTTGGCCCAAACAAGACAGAACTTGCGTTTGCGCGCAGTTCTCCAAGGCACAGTTATGCAAACCAGTTGTAAAGGAGCAGTGACTTCAGAAAAACGAGAGTTCAGCTGAAGGTTTTAGCTGGGTAGGTTTCTCTGGTAGAGGTGCAGTTAACCCTTCGTCGCGTGCCGATGGGGGGGTGGCGTCTCCGAGCAGCTTCTTCCCGCTGGAGCGTTTGCCGATTGCTGCAGAGGGGCAAAAGCTGGATGTGGCTGGGGCTCGGGAAGGTGTTTGCTTGTTGCGCGGAGCACGAGACTGTATCGTCAGCGGGTCGGTCTGCGTCAGAGACAAGGATGTAGTCTGTGAAATGACTGCCATTTTTAACAAAGTAGTGTATTAAAGAGGCTTATTGCTAGGCAGCGTGAAGCGTATCGGCAAAAATGCAGGGGGAGAAAAGCTTTTTGCATGTGCAGTGTGATGACAGATCTTGGTTCTTATGTGGGCAGTAAAATTACTTAAAAATGATGGCGATATTGAAACTGTTCGAAAGAATAGTAATTAAATATGGGTTTTTTGTGGCATTGATTTTTGTAGAGTGGGTTGGGCCTGTTCCATTAGCAGTGCCTAATGGCATTCCTCGCAGACGTGTCGTAGCGCTGCGGTGTTCGCATCGCCGGTCGGTTTGCGTCGGTGGCCCAGCGCGGACCGCATCCATCACAGCTCCGCAGTCTCGTTTCGGTGGTGTTCGCAGCTGTGTGATCCAGATGTGTAATTTACAGTAGTGTAACTTTTAAATATCCTTGGTTTTCCCTCTCCTGTTAACGTTGGTTACTTCGGGGTGAACATTACCCTGTCACGTTAGCCCCTGCGCCGTCTGGGTGTGCAGATGGTCATGGCCCCTTGGGAAGAGGTGGGAAATGCATCTTCCACAGCTGGACGGGGAAGCTGAAGAGAAAACGTTCGCCTTGTGTGTTCTCCCCTTTACCCCAGGGCAATTTGCAGTCCAAAAACTGGAAGCTGAAGTTAAATGGAGGCTCTGTGTCATAGCTTAGAATTCTGATTTTAATGTACAAAGAAATAGCTGGTAAACTATGTTCCATTTTTTCAGGTTTTCAGGATGAATCTGGAAAAACTCAGCAAACCAGAACTACTGACGCTGTTTAGCATTCTTGAGGGAGAATTAGAAGCAAGAGATCTTGTCATAGAAGCCTTGAAGGTATGTTGTAAGTACCATGATAAGAGACAAAAATGACAACAGTACTGCTGTAGGTTCTGCACGGCGCTTGCATCCAAGATGAAGTTCAGAGGCAAAAATTTATTGCTGGTTCAGAATCCCATCTTAACATCGACAGTATTAGATCTTAAGTGCTGTATATCATTCTACGTCTTGGAATTCGTTATTGAAAGCTGGCTGCCAGAAGCATTTCAGTGTTGGAAGTACAGTGTTGTGCGTGTGCTTTCATCCTTCCCCATAAAGAACCGAGTGTTGCCGCTGTTGTGAGAAACGTGAAAGGTCTGTCAGACCTCCTTTGTTGGTTTTGTTCTCCTTTAGTAAGGAGAGCTTCTTCAAGCGAAAACTCTTCTCGCCAGGAGGGATCACAGATTAGTCTTTTAGTGAGAATAACTTCACACTGAGAAAGAAGCGTCCCTGGCTGCGCGTCGCGCTAAGCCAGTAGAAGCTGCCCCCGCCGCGGAGAGCAGCAGACCTGTGTGCTCCGCTGGT